AAAAAAAAAAAAAAAAAAAAAAAAAAAAAAAAAAAAAAAAAAAAAAAAAAAAAAAAAAAAAAAAAAAAAAAAAAAAAAAAAAAAAAACGCAAATTGATGATGAAATATTTGTGAACAAATTACTTTTTCATTATAAAAAGTACATAGCTCTTTGTTTAAAAATGAGTTATAAAACAGTTTAGTCGAAAGAAGCAATATTAGATTTTACCAAAAATAAGTTTTATCTCTATTAATAAAATGCAAGTTCAACTAGGTATCAAAAAAAAAAAAAGAAAAAAAAGAAAATAGAACCTATATAATGATACTTAAATAGCCAGTTAAATGTACTATAAAACCCATAAAAAATATGCAAAGGTGAAATTATATTTAAAAAAAAAAAAAGTCATACAAAGTGTTTTTGAGTAGTAATGATCATACTGATAAAAAATAAGAGTTACAAATTTGTAATAGGAAGAAGTAATTAAACATTTTTGTTAACAAGTGAAGAAAGAATAAATATTTAAAAAACAGAAATAATGCATTATGTTTTTTTTTACAGTTGTAATGAATATTCAGCTCCTACTCTGCATTCAGCCTTTTTTCTGAATATTCAGACCTCTGATTGTTCAACCAAATGTTCAAAGTATTTATTTATTTATTTTGGAATTTTGAAAAAAATATTAAATAAAATAATAAAAAATGTTTTTTTTTAACTATACACATAGCTGCCAAATACAAAAAAAAATCCAGTAGATTTTACGAAATAATAATATTAGATGACACCAGTTGCACAATATGCTAAATATTTTACGTATAGGGGAATTGTATAAGATTTTTATTGTCATTAAAATACAAAACTTTTATTACATTAATAACTATAACTGGTCTGCAATATCTTGTATTTTGATTAACATTAAATAACCTTGAATTAGAAATGTTTTCTACTAAGTTCATAATTTTAAATAGCAATAGATAAGTAATTTATTACTACTAGTTAAAAGGTTTTAATTAATTTAAAAAGGGAGTTTTGAACTAAAGGAAAGGAAATGCTTTAAACCGATTACAATATTAATGACCCGATTAGTTAAGCATAAATAATACTTATTTAAATAAAGCAAATTATTGTGTAAAAACTCTATTTTAATAGATTTTTTTAAAGAAAACTAACTCAATTTTGGCAAATTTTCTAAAATGTACGCAAATCAAGAGAATTTTTATTAAAACAGTATAATAGGAGAAACTGACAAAACCTAGAACACTACTGATAAATCCAGTAGAGTTGGCAGCTATGTATACATTATTAGAAATAGTTTTTACACACATTAAAGTTCTAAAATTTTAACAGAGCTTGCAAATTTAAGTCCGGGAAGACAAATGGAAAAGTGGATAAAACTAGATTACTTTATACTGAATCACATATTTTTTACTGTTGATATTTTTCAAATTACATTTAGGTAAGTCAATTTTATCTCTTTTTGCATTTTGCTGTTTCTTATTATTGCATAGCGCCGACCGGCCTGTGTAGGGGGCAGGGAACTGTCCTTGCATCAGAAAGGTCCTGGGTTCGAATCACGGGCAAGGCATGGATGTTTCTTTCTCTCTATCTGTGTTCCATGTCTTTTCTCCTTTGTGTGTGATTATGTGAAGGTGACCTGCCCTATAATCAGGTTGGGGTAGTGCGGCGTGGACGATGCTGCTCCACCGCCATGGCTTTGCCACAGGTGCCCACTGGGTAACGGAAAGAGAGTTAGTAGTTTTCTGAGGCCAATGGACAATAGTTCCAAGTGCCCGTCATTAAAAAAAAAAATTATTGCATAGCATTTTAGCGGAACATTTATGATAAATTTTATTCTTTCACTGTAATTTTTTTCCTGAACGGTAATATAGAAATCTGTGGTTTTCAAGGCTTAAGTTATGTTTTAATAATTAAGAACAGTTTTTTTTCTGTTCCACTTCTTTTTTATTAACTTTTTGATTTTATCAGAATTTTTATTATGATACAGCGTTTTTAATAAACTTTATTCCTTTATTGTCCCTTTCTAAAAATACGACAATGTAAAAAAGTTAAACTGAGATTTTTAGCGTTACATTTTTCTTTTCAAAATTAAGAACGATTTTTGTTTTAGTTTCATTCCAACTTAAAAAAAAAATTGACATTTTTATTATAACTTGGCAATTAATAGGGTTCCTATTAGTTTTTATTCTATTTTCTTTTGAGAACCATGATCGATTTTAATTATTTTTTCTGTTCTGAACAGAATTTTTAGTTTTTAATTACGTTTTTAATGTTTGTTTTTATTACAATCAAGTTTTTTTTCAGTGTATTTAGGCGATTATGGGGATAGGGTTAGTGAGTAGTTTTTTTCTTAGTTTGTGATATTAATGGTAATGTTGCCAATCAAAAGATTTTTGAAAAAAATTATAAGAATGGAATACTCTTTAACTTTTAGGTGAGTTTTTACATATTTATTTGCTGGGGTTTTATGTTTTTTGTTAATTTTATGCTGAATGGTAACTAAACTGTAACCTATGATTCAACATCGATTTGCAGTATTTCTTTTTATGGGTTATAAAAATTGTTTGTAATGTTAAGACTTACTAAACATTTGTGCAGATATATTACAAAATACTTGCCTAGGAAATGGAAATGATTTAATATTGATCTACAGTATTTTTCATTTTCTTGTTTTTTAAAATAAGTGTTGGCTATGATAAATTTGCCGAAAATGTGTGCTGATGCATTTCAAAATTATTGCTTAGAGGTAATGATTCAATATAGATTTGGAATATATTTTATTCATGAACAGAAATTTTGAATTAAAAAATGTCAGTAAAATTGATTACATTTTAATATAATAGATACTGATGTGTTTTAAATTTAAGTGTCAATGCCCGATATACACTTCTAAGGTTAAGTGTCATTGCTTTGGATATCCTACACTGCTGCTTAAAATTGACAGAAACACAAATGAACTTTCGCATCAGTGCAGACTCATAACGAATTAATCGCTTATGGGTTACCATTTGTTATAGGTCTGAAGTTATTTTTGAAATGTGTGTTCTATGTTAAAAAATTATCGAAAGGCAAGTGAACTTTGAATTTAGAGTTACAATATTTTATTCTGTTTTCAGCATGTGATAAGACTGGTGCCTATAGAGATGTGCCAAAACTNTGGGGGGGGGGGGGGAATCAGCAACATCAGTTGCTGCTGCATAATAAATCATTCCCAAACAATGTGCAATTTGCAACTTCACAATCATGTTGAGAAATAAAATTTATGTTGAAAAAAAAGCATTATATTTTTTTATAAATATAGTTCAGGGGGTAAAAGGGAATAAAAGATAAATCAAAATTAAGATAATTATAAATTAAAAAATGCAATTAATTAAAATTAAGTTTACATTGCACTCTGAGTGGTTACTTTTAGATCTACAAAGAAAGCCAAGTATAAGGTAAAACAAAGTAAGTCAATAGCTAGTTTTATATATTCAAAATGAAAGAAATGTATGCTATCACATTAATAATGATAATAAAGTTTTATAAAAATTAAAAGATTAAAAAAAAAAAAAAAAATTCAGTGATTCTTGGACAAATTTTATCAAATTTATGCAGCAATGAAAAGGTTGACACTAGTTACAAGAATTGCTTACATGAAGGGGAACAGCCACATTAATTTTTAATCCTATGCACATTTCTAAAAATCTTTGAAGGTTTACCAGGGTACCTAGCCAAATCTCTCAACCAAAAAGTAAAGTACTTTTTAAGCACTCAAAAAATATTTCTAAGCACCACATACATTAACAAAATGCAAAATAACTTTCAAAGACTTTATATGATGATGATAAAATAAGTAGTTTCTGACTAAGATCTCTTTTCCTGACTATGTTAGCGACCATAAAAAGATCGAGAGATTTTCCAGTTTGATTTCAGAGGGTAGAAAATGAAGCCTGAAATTTAGAATATCCTGCAAAAGGCAGCATAGTTGCACATGAGAGTGCAGGAATCTCACCGAAAACAGCTCAGTAGTCCCTCCTAAATAATATTTGTAACAGGACAATTGTGGTTAAATTAATTGTGAAAACGTTGAATAGAATAATGTGAAAACCACGCTTTTACATAATATGCAGCGAAAATCAAGCCGATTTTAGAAACACCCTATGAAAAATGCACCTTTAAGGGATTTTAAAAAAACAAAAGAAAAATAAGCACCTTTTAGTACTTTTTAATAATGCTACACACCATGTTTACATACCGTATATTCCGGCGTATAACGCGCACTTTTAATACAAAAAATAACATTGGAATTTACGGGTGCGCGGTATACACCGAATATAAAAAATTATAGATTAAAAAAAATTTAAATATAGAAAAATACTTTTATTTTAAAGAAATAACATACCTTTACCTATATACTTTATTGATTTTCGTTATTACATAAATGGTTCATTATATTCGTATTCCGTTATTTCTTCAGGCACGTCATCACAATCTGTTTCGTCTTCATCATCTGTGTTACCCTCCTCCATAAATAAACAGTCATCCGTCCAGATTATTTGAAATACTGCATTTTTTGAATGATTTTCTAAACATCTCAGGCTTAATTTCATCCCATGCTTTTAATATCCATTCGCACACTGTTTCCAAACTGTTGTCCTCCTTTCGTAAAGGTTTTCTCGCCCTCCAACATCCAAGTATTCCACTGTTGTTTTTTTTAAAATTGGCTTTAAATGGTTTGTTTAAGCAGACGTCCACTGGCTGAACTAATGGTGTCTCACCGCCCGGAATAACTGCCATATCGGTTTTACATTCCTTCAACAATTTTTTTGTATTATCTGTAAGGTGGGACCTAAACATGCCCCACACTAAAAGGCTTTCTGGTTTTCTTACGCAACCAGGACGGATTTGCCAGACATTTTTTACTCACAATTTAACACCATTTTCGTCCATCCAGCCTTTTTCGTGGACATGAACAAAAATACCCTTTGGAGAATTACATTTGGGAAAAGTTTTTCTCTTAAAAATCTAAATTTTCGTACGCGTTATACGAAGAGTATATCTTAAAATTCAAGAAAAGTAATTAGAAATTACGGGTGCGCGTTATGCGCCGGAATATACGGTACTTTTTGGAAACTCTGTATATGAAATTAACAATACTCACAACCAGTTTTATGACTTTTCACATGTTTTCTATACTCATTCATAGACGTGCACATTTGGGGACATCTGGAACAAACATATTGTTTGTCTTTTCTTTTGAAAAACCTGGATCTATCAGCAGGAGGACATTTTTGGTCAGAATCTAAATAATAAGAATAAAATATTATATTCTTGTTCAAAGAAACTTTTTGTACACTGCATTTGTTAACCAATCGTGTTTAAATTGGGGGTCAACTTATAGATAGTTAACCGAGGGTTAACAAAAACAAGGTTATAAATATTCTTGATATACAGTCACCTTTGTAACCTGGACCATTTACTGAGCAATACAATAGCGATCAGTTTAGAAAGGTGATCAAGGTCAACTCTGTACAGACAATAAACAAAATTCTAAAAGAATAGCACAATTTAGAAAACTAGCATAACTCTTAATATCGGGGTTCAGACTCAAAAGGAAGAAATTTTTTCCCCCGATTTTTCCTCGCAGATTTACAAAAAATTCTAGATTCTTTTTTCAAAAAAGAAAAAAAAAATTTAATTTAATAAAAATGTAAATTAAAATTGTAACTCAAAGGAAGCATTAATAAATTATTTTTATTTTAAAAAAATAAGATGAAAAATTGTCAGAATTGTAAACAGAATGGGAAATCAGAAAGAGAATTAATTGAGCAAATTCTTTCTTAAAAAGCTATTTTTAATTTTTTTTAAAAACATTGAGCAATTCAAAAAATAAAAAAAAATTGGTATGAAGTTGTTGGAATAAAAATAAATAAATAATCTGTGCATAATTGATATCAAATTAACTCAAGAACATTTTTTAAAATAAAAATGCAACAAACAATTAAACCCCAAAATATTAGCATAGATTAAAAATTAATTATGGGAAAGATAAGCATCAATGAGAGTGCAAATGATACCACAGCTCTGGTGAATCAGAATTTTTTTTAGGCAAAGAAATAAATAAACATAGCAGATGATAAAAAAAGTTTTGTTCTTAATAATTAATGCACGATCCAAAGTTATAAAAAAATCTGTTAAAATAAATCATGAAGTGTAAAGTTATAATTATTAACTAAAAGGAATACTAAGCTCTTCAAATATTTATAATATATGCTTACACAAGATTAAAACACAATGCAATACTCTTATCAAAGTAAAGAAAGAACAGAACTTAAGTTATCAATTGTCTTTTTAAACAATATAATTTCTTAATTAACTTTTACACTACTTGTATTTTTTTTCTTGGTCTAATTATTTTCAAAAACTTAATTTTGATTCAACAAAAAACTATCATTCAATAGTTTTATTTAGATTTATTACAATTAGTAAGTAATAACCTGCTGGTTCGATTGCTGTGCGTTAAGTTTTAAAACGAGAAACATTTAAATAGGAGCTCAATAAATTCCAAATAAAAAATTAATTATGTTGCAGTAAAAAATTGTCTAAAAATTCCGACTGTACATTTTAAGTGTATAACAATTTTAACGAGTATAGATTATCTTTCTAGATATATAATACGCTGTTAAAGGGGTACCAGATATTTTTTTAAAATTTAATTTAATTAGTTTCCTATGGTTTGCACTTGGTCTGCAAAAAATTTCTTTTCTTTTGTTTTTAAGAAATGATGCATAAGCATATTGAAACGACCAACTGGGTTATAGAAGTTAAAGAACCACATAGTTTATTTGACTTTCATGTATTTCTGTATATATAATATATATGTATATAAAAAAAGAAACAATACACATTATTTATATAATCTATTCAATTTTCACAATCAACAGAGACAGTGCACCAAAATTAAAAAAAATAATAATTAGAATTAATAATAAACTATTCATTGAATACAATAATTGGTTTGTTACATCTATAAAAATTTCAGCTATTTTCAGGATTTTTTTATTTATTGGCAATTATTGGCATAAGCATTAAGATTTTAGAAAAATCAAATGCATTTACCTTGTTTATTTCATATACAGTCAGGACAGGCTTTGATTTGTCAAATGAAGAAACAGAAATGGTTTGCAAACAGAAGATTTTACGATACCCTGTTTTGTGCGTTTTGTAACACTAGTCCGATGAAAAACATAAAATCGTGATTCGACTGTATTTTTAATTCAATTGTTGATTCATACATTTTAAAAGCATAACTCCACATTTAATAATACAATAGAAAACTGATTATACGGAATAAATGTGGATCATTGCCACTCCAGATGTCGGAATTTCCGGTTATCTGGAACGCTAAAAAATGATTTAATATAGCTTAACTCTATTTTTACTTTATCATTGAATAAAAAATATAGTGGAATTTTAGCCGAGCAAAAAATGAAATGATTTGTTTCATCAAATCGAGAGGAATTTTTGCCAACAATGGTAAAAATTCCTCTATTCAACCCAGCAATCAACCTGGCAGCAACTGATTTAAGAATTTCTTTATCTGCTATAGGCAGTTGCACTTTTCCCGCACTTATGTTTGGCTTTCAGGCATTGAGAATTGGACAGACAGCTGTTGGTTTTTCCACCGGACAAGAAGAACTGTTTTTGTCATTCAATTCCCGAACTCGTCGCTACGTATATTATCCATTTTAAGTGACGTCAGGGGATTTTAGGTTCATGATGCGTCTTGATAAATTGCGATTCAGAGTTCAACTTAAAAAAAAAAAAAAAACTAACTAAATATTTTATGACATAAAAATTAAAATTTTTAATAAACTTGGAGAGAATTGGATAGTGACAAAAGGTTTGAAACTATTTACAAGAGTTGATAAATTTCTTACTTGAAGTTTTTTAATTGAGAATGATTTTGATGATATCCAGAGAGCATTTACAATTATCAAGTCTTTTTAGGAAGAAATTTCTCAATCTTTTACTATTGCTTAAATGCTGCTTACAAAAGAAAGTTGAATAGTGGACAAAAGGATTTTGAACAGCAAGTAATTAAAAACAATGGTTTAAACTGAGTTAAAAGCCTTGCCAAACTTGGATTCAACCTAAAATCATTTTAATATTTTAAAAGTATCTAAGACTTAAAATTTAGTTACCAGAAGTAGATGGGTCCAAGCATTTCATTTTGCGTTGAACTTTACGAACTGAACTTTTGATAGGTGTTGGCAACTTTTGTGTACTGTCTTCTGCATCTATACAGAAAAAGGAATAAATATGGAGTGTCAACAATTAAGGCTAGCACTTGTGAGTGGCTTGTATAAAAAATTATGCAGAATTTTTAAAAAATTTGATTGTAACATAATTACATTATAGGACTATTAAATAGAACAAATAGATATATCAAACTTTTATAGAAAACACAGACAAATAACAATTGAATAAAACATTAAATTTAATTTACAAAACAAAACTACTTTGTCCTTTCAAAAACAGCAGCAATAATTTAACTGTTTATAATTTGTCTGTTTATATTTGACAATACCTGCACAATACTTGCAATAATCAAGTTTTGTTGCAGGAAATAAACATTTACTTCCAGGCTATAATTAATAAATTGTAAATACTCTTATTGAAGCTTAAAGCTTATTTCTTAACCTTGTAGTATTTGCTTAAAAAGAAGCTTCTACATTATGGACGGAAGAATTTTAAGCAGTTCACAAAAGGGTTTTGAACAGAATCAGTAGTAAAAATCATGGTCTAAACTGTGTGTATTAACATTGAATTAAAAGCCTTTCCAAACTTGGATTAAACCTAAAATCAATTAAATATTTTTAAATTAAAATTTAGTTACCAGAAGTAGATGGGTGTAAGTATTTCATTTTGCGTTGAGCCTTACGAACTGGACCTTTAATAGGTGTTGACAACTTTTGTGGACTATCTTCTACGTCTAAAGTATACAAAAGAAATATAATTACACAATAAATTTAAAAAAATATTTTTTTTTTATCTGAAGGATAAATATAGAGTGTCAACAATTAAGGTTAGCACTTGGGAGCCATTTGTATAAAAAACTATGCAGCAGTATTTTTAAAAAATTGGATTGTAGCATAATTACATTGAAGGATTATTAATTAGTGCAAATAAATGTATGAAACCTTTATAGAAAACACATACAAATAACAATTGTAGGGACAGCAGCCAAAATTTTAAGAAAATAGGATTTTTTTCAAAAATTAGGAGTGTTGAAAAACAAATAAAAAATTCACTTTAAAGTAACTTAATAAATTTTCATAAACATTAATTTTAATCATAAAAAATATCTACTTTCCTAAAGAGCAAATAGAAATTGAAAAAACAGTAATTAAAAATAAAATTTCTGAAAAGATTAAACATTCTCTGAGAGTTAAGTAACACATATTTTACATTTTATCATTTTCATTGAGGCTGTAACAATATAATTATGATATGCATAAGTAATATAACTTGTATAAAAAATATATTTATATAAAATTGAGCTAAGAAAATTTATCAAAGTTTTTTTTTTGCCAAGTTTTGCATTTTATGAATAAAATATTCTCATATTAAAAACTTTTATTTTACAAAATTTAAAAATAAATTATTTCTATATAAATTTTTTTATTTTTTAAAAAAGTTATTCTTGCAGTTAAAACAAAACCACTTTGACATTAAAAAAGAACAGTCATAATTTAACTGTTTCATAATTTGTCTGTTTATTTTTAAGACCTGCAGAACAAATGCAATAATCAAAACTTGTTGCAGGAAATAAATAGTTGCTTCCAGGCTATAATTTATAAATTGTAAATGTTCTTATTATAGCTTAAAGTATAGTTCTTAATCTTTTAGTACTGCTTAAAAGAAGCTTCAAAATTATGAACAAAAGAATTTTGAATAGTTGACAAATTGGTTTAGAACAGTATAAGTATAAAAAATAGTGGTTTAAATTAAGTTTAATTAAAAGCATTAAATTAATGATTAAAATGAAGTTACCAGAAGTAGATGGGTGTAAGTTTTTCATTTTGCGCTGAGCCTTAGGAACTGTTCTTTTAATAAATGTTGTCAACTTTTGTGGACTGTCTTCTACATAAAAGGAATATAATTACACAATAAATTTAGTTAAATAATTTTTTTTTTCATCTAAAGGAATAAATATTAGAGTGTCAACAATAAGGTCAACATTTGTGAGACACCAGTATCAAAAAATATGCAGCAGAATTTGAAAAAAATTAGACTGTAGCATGATCATATTATAGGAGTATTAATTAGTGCAAATAGATGTATCAAACTTTTACAGGAAACACATAAAAATAACAATTGAACATAGCATCAAAACAAAACTACTTTGTCATTAAAAATTTGCAGTAATAATTTAACTGTTTATAATTTGTCTGTTTATTTTTGATACCAGCACAACATTTACAATAATCAAGTCTTGTTGCAGGAAATTTGAAATTATCTGCTTGCATGGACAAAAGAATTTTGAAGAGTTGACAGAGTTTTGAACAGTGTAAGTAGCAAAAACTATGGATAAGGATTTAAACTGTGGATAATGACAATGAGTTAAAAGACTTGCCAAACTTGGATTCAACCTTAAATTATTTACACATTTTAAAAGTATCTAAAAATTAAAATTTAGTTACCAGACGTAGACGGGTCTAAGCATTTCAATTTGCGTTGAACCTTACGAACTGTACTTTTAGCAGGTTTTTTCAACTTTTGTGGACTGCCTTCTGTATCTAAAGTACACAATATGATTACAATTACATTTAGCTCAATAATTTCTTTCGTTTTCCTTTAAATGAATATATATAGGGTGTCAACAATTAAGGTTAGCATTTGTGAGCCGCCTATATCAAAAACTATGCAGCACAATTTTTAAAAATTCGGATTGTAGCATATTTACAACGTAGGACTATCGATTAGTGCAAAAAATTAATTACCGAAAACATCAGTAGTAGATGTATCATGCCTTTATAGAAAACACATACAAATAACAATGAAATAATATATCAAATTCAACAATTTCCATTTACAAAACAAGTATATTATGATGTTTATCCGTGTTTTTTACAATTTGAAGGCATGAAATCAGATGTTCAATCCCTGAAAGTAGTGTATGCTTTTTTACAGTTCAAAGATCATTTTATTATTAGATCAAGTCTATCAGATATATATAATATANTATATATATAGATATTAAATAAAAATCACAATAAAATAATTTATTTTATTGCGTTCAGAAGCTACCGGGGTATGCAAATCAACAGTTGGCGGGCCACAGGTTGGGTTGTGCATCCCTAGTCTAGAATATCAATGAAAATAAATTTTTAAAATATATTAAAAATTTAACCTGAGATTGAATTTGCTGCAAGCTGGCAATGACTTATGTGTACATTACAACCTCTAAGAGTCTTAAAAACTTTTTTGCACTTCAGACACTTGTAAGCAGCTTTATTCGAGTCAGTTAGGATGACATCTACGGCTTTAATGTCATCATCACTTCTTGCATCAATTTCCACTTCCAAAGCAGGGTCTTAAAAAAATGTTATTAAAGATAATTCAATACAAATTATATTTTTCAAATTGGTCTAAAATTAATAAATTAAAAATAACCTGTTACAATGAACAGATGAAACATGAAATGTTATCCAAAAAAACTCTCTATTATGTCTCTTAATCTTTAAAATGCAATTTCAACTTCCAATAATGTAAGGAGCTGTCCAAGCTTATACACATTATTTTTAGGGATAACTAACTGAATACCCGTTATTCACACGGGGTGAAAAAGCATAAAAATAAGAAAAGAATTAATAAATCAGTACTGAGAATCTTTCCTCCATGAGCTCTTGCTTTTAGTACATAGCTTTTTTTATTTTATTTCATTTTTTTTATTTTATTTTTTATTTTATTTTATTTTTTATTTTATTTTTACACATTATCAATATTAATTGAGCATTAGTGTCGATAATAATATGCAGATTTTTTACTGTTACCCAAATGAGAATAAGTATCTTTTATTTGTGCTTTTTAGTTCAGAAATTATTTTTTTATTTCAACTAATACATATTACCAACATTAATTAAGCATCATCGTCCTCCATTCAAATTAATACCTTTACTCCATTACTTTTGCTTTCTACTACCTAGCTAATTTCTTTTATTTCAATATGCATATATTATCTTAATTAAGCATCTTAGGCAAAATTAAGTTCCATTGGCTTCGATTTTTAATGTTTCTCCTAAACGAATTAGTACCACTTCCCCATTAACATTGCCTTTGAATACATAAATATTTTTTTTTCTATTCACAGTTAGTTATAAATAAGTAATCTTTCAGAAACACGCTTAAAAGATAATACAAATAAAATAGAAGAGCATGGTATTAGACAAAGTATAAATTTGGTGACCTAGACCACGGGAACTATCAGGTAATGTTTATTGAATTTATATGACATAGAGAATATAAGATAAAATACTTAAATATGTGCAAGAAACTATTTTTTGATCAAATAGAGCTATAAGCCAGCAATTATCACTGATGTTATCTTTAAAATGTGAAAAATTGAATCGTTAAATTTAAAACAATGGCCAAAGCTTAACCAATCAGAAAAATCCATTTTGTTTTTCGCCTATTCCACTCGAACGGTCTGTCATAGAATGTTCTAATGTCAACAGTGACCTTCCTCATGCTTTGAACTATGTTGGTGCCGGTGTCGAGTTTCACTAGTAGGGGCAGTTCAGACGTATTAACTTTTTGTTCGAAGCTCTCGTGCTTATTGTTTTTTGCAATTTAACATGTTTTGATAACTATTTTATGATTAGTTGTAACCATATTTTGATAATTGCTTATGGTTAATGGTAACCATATTTTGGTACATAATGATTCATTCGGAATCATAAAATTAACTGATTTCACTATTGTTATTTTGTTTACAATAAAAACTGTTATTGTTATGGACTATTGATTTACTTGACCTATGGATACTTTGTTGTTAAAGTAGGTTGACCCTACACTATTTGTATGTTAAATTTCACAGCTTTCGGTTGGATGGTTTAGGAGTCTGTAAAGGACACACACACCCACAGACATATTTTGGATCACAAAATTCTGTTATTGTTTACAAAATATTGTTTGACTTGGTTAAGAATTTTGAAATTTGGCTAATACTTTTGATATTTGGCTAAATAACTGGGCAATAATTTGAAGTCCATTGTGCGGGCACTGCAAGTACAAAATTATTAAAAGTCAATTATCAAAAATAATAGTAAATCAATTAATAAAAGAAATAGAATGTAAAAAATAATAAATGTGGCTAACCATATTTCAAGACACATGTGTGAGCATCTAAGGCAGCTTTGCTTTTAAACTCCACCAAGCAATCCGCACATGTAGAACGGTCCTAAAAGTTGAAGATGCATAAATAAATATAACCTGCCTTAACTAGTTAGGATTCGTTCACAAATACATGATGTGAAGTGTAAACAAAATTTTCAGTCAAAAAAATAAAAAAAGATAATACAAATAAATAGGGTTTATTTCAGACTGAGCAATGAAATTATTACATTAAAACGGTAGAAAAAACTGTTCATTATGCTTATTTGTACTATTTGTTAAATGTGTGTAGCATAAAAAACACATAGTTTTTCAACATGTTAAAAACAAAAATAGAAATATGCCAAGTCTATCAGCGGTACTTTTGACACAAAGTGAGCTGTTGTGCAAAAAATTTTAAAAAATAATTATTTATGGACTTACCTTTGAAGGCATAGAATATTTGGATATCTTTCTCACTGATCTTGATGTCATGTCATTTAATCCTGTAAAATTGTCAATTGCAAGATCATCCCTTAAATAAAATTCAAAATTTATATATTTAATTCTCATACCATAATTATTATCCTTGATTACTTATTTTAAATATCTGCATTAATCACTGTCAAATTTTTCTGAATTAATATCATTTGCACTTAACTATGACCAATAGTTATACTACAGCTTTGGAGTAAGAAGACAGCCTGAAGAAACTGCCGAGCAGTCTTAAATAAAATGAAATACTTTTTGCAAACACAAAATGTAAAAAAAGTTTTCTGCACACTTTATATCAACTCTTGTAACTAGTGTCAACCCTTTCGACACCTCCTAATTTTAGCGAAGTGTAAATGAAAATCACGGATTTTTTTTAAAAAAAATGTTTCTATCTTTATAAAACTATATTGATTCAATTCACAGGGAAGAGTTTGGTAAAAAACTGAAAATTGTAATCCAAATATATTTTGTGCAAAAAACGCTTTATAAATAAGTGAAAAAATACTTGAAATTTGTGAGAGAAAAGAGTATGTAGGAAGCAATTATCCACATCCCCCATAATTCTTTATACGTTCGCTGAACAAAACAAACAAAAAATTTACATTTCCATAGAAAAGGGAAAAACAAAAGCGGAGATCCTAACGAATTTTCCCGTTAGCTGGAAAAATAATATGCACGATTAATAGATTCGATTAGTTACATTATTCTACGGGCAAGTTTAATCTATTGCAATACAAATACATTTTAAAAACAAAATAGCATAAGATTTTTAGAGCACATTGGTTTTGAATATACAAAAAATATGCATATGACTTCTGAAGAAATTACATGGTTTCCAAGAAACAAATAAATTTTAAGCTTTCTTATACAACAACTAAAAAAACTTACCATCTTAAAACTTATGGAGCAATTAGAGAATACATTACCTGATAAATACACTTCGATGAAACAATTTCGATTTTAATGAAAATATTAATATTTGCATAAAGTTTGAAGACTTGAAACATGCCTTTAGCTTGCATTGTAAAAATTATTATGTAATGAACTTTTTACTTTTACGGTTAGTTTTTAATAGCGCTTTTTACTCACATGTGCTGGGACAATGCAGTGGACGCAACACCGTTTGCCTGGCAGCAACCAAAAATTACGAAACTTTAAAAAGATAATTAAAACTGATTTTATTTGAGAATATCGTTAATTTTTCACATGAAATTCAATTAAAAATGCTCCAAATCCTATTTCATAAAATATTAGTTTCTTTACCGATTTTAAATGTTGAAAACGATGAATCGATTCGAAATATGCCCATCCCAAAGCAGAAGACGTGTTGGATTTGTTGTGAACGGTTTTGAAGTTGCGGTTGCTTACCTGTCATCGTAAGAGAACAGGAGATTTATCTGTCATTCCCAACGATTAAAAATGTCAACTTCTGGAGATTTTGGAAATCCTTTAAGAAAATTTAAACTTGTTTTCTTAGGTGAACAGAGTGGTGAGTTTCGATTATGTAGTTAAGCCTAAATTATATGTCTGTTGATTTCTTCATTTTGATCACTGCGTTGCTCTACTATTTTTTAAATAGGTCCTGTGTTTTTATGTATTGGATTCGTTTTCGTATTGAAAGAAAAACAAATGTGCTAATTATTTGAATTTGTGAAAGTCTGTTTATTGTTATATAATCTAAGTAGAAAGCTGAAAGTAATTTTTGACATCTTGTTTTGACTTAGAAACCACCCTAGTAAAGGAAGCTACCTTCATGAAAGTTTCTAAACTAATTTATTGAGATTTTTATTTAATGAATCTATTTCTTGCTTTGCTACTTTTTATTTTGTCCCAGGAAACCATGGGTCAGTTCCTTGACATAGAGCTTTAGAAGTTCTCTCCTAATTTCTTCAACCTTTGAAGAGTAAACAATCTTTTGATAGTTTACTTTTCGAACAATCAAAGTCATAGTTTTTGTTTAATAATACTTTTATTGTCAATATTTTTCACTTAATATTTTTATTAATTCTACAAAAAAAATACAGTAAAAAAAAGTTAAAATCTTGAAGGAAGAGTATTCATGAGTTATAGAAGCAGGGGTCTGTCCAGACATTTTGTGAAAGTTCCGTTTTTCGTGAAATTGTGAAAAAATTACTCACATTCTTTCAAAGCTCCGCTTTAATGAATTTGTGCAAATAGGGTCCGTTATTGCAAAAAAAGACTTTTTCAAGGACTTTTTAAATTGTAAATAGATACAAGATTATGCTCGGCACTGTAAAATTATAATAAAAAAATTAAATTTTCAAAAATAAACAGCAATTGCTGCTTCTAAATTAGAGATGCAACATTTGATATTTAGCCTATACTGCTGAACGCAGAATATTCATTTCGGACGAATAATGGAAGAATCGTCTGCCGAAGACAAAACTTAATTCGTTTACATCCATCTTTCTTGTTTTCTGCCCTGGGAAGGGTTTATTCGATTAACAAAACAATAATGAAGATAAACAAATTTGTGAAGGGTCCAATTAAAAGAAAAATCATTTTGTGAAGGGTCCGTTTTTAAGTTAAAATATTTTGTGAAGGGTCTGTTTTTATGAAAAGATATTTTGTGAAGGGTCCGTTAACGGACCCAAATTTCTTCTAAACAGACCCCTGAGAAGTTTAGGGTACATTGTTGTGCTCAAAAAGCAGCAGTTGAATTCTCAATTTCTAAGTGGGTTTTTCCTATGATTTTATTATTTTGATGAAAAACTTACTATTAAAAACACAGAAGCAGCATTGGAAAGTGTTCTGGTTAGAAAATGAAGATTATGTTATTAAAACATTTTAATTCAACATAAACTTGTTTGTTTATAACAAAAAAAAGATAGATTTTCAGCGCTTTTTTTAAAGATTAAAATACAAAACTATTTTATCTATTTGCAAACTATATTATATGAACATCTAAGAGCTAGCTCTAAGTCAGAACTGGCCCCTGGGCTAATTCTTCTATCCTAAATTGAGGATTAAATCTTTTTTTGTGTGTGTTCTTCATGCTTAATGTTACTTACTGTACAATATCTTAGTATGTTAAAATTCGTAGTGATCATGTTAAAATGAAGAAATTCATTTTAAGTAAATTCACTTAGAGGATGGTTTTATGGATTTGCTATCGATAATTTTTTTTGTAATTGTATGTCAAGTATTGGTATATTCAGACAGGTAGTATTTTCTACACAATCGTCAAGACCCCAGTTTTTTTTTTTTTACATAAATGTAAAATATGAAGTGTCAATGAATTAAACTCCTTAAAGAAAAGCATGAATTAAATCCTTTGAGTTTGTCCTTTTTGGGATGTTTTTCTTTTTTTAGTTTCACACGTGCCATTGCTCCCCCTGTTTACTTCAAAACTAAGAGTAAGGTAACTGCGCTTCAAGAGTACATTGCAATTCATATTCACGTAAGTTTTAAATCCTAAACTCGCCATTTGTATCCACTGGATCTAAAAACGGTGATATTTCTGTATTGTGATCTGTCGCGCCAACCAATTGCCAATAGATTTTAAACTTGCAAATTTAAAAAAAAGAAATATGTAGATGTTTGCCCAGGGGTGGCTGCGAGTTATACCTTTCAAGTTAGTCCCTTTCTGTGATGTTTTTTATTTTATTTTTTAGTTTCTCGCGAACCACTGCCTGGAAGTTTCCAAAACTTGATTATTTTGCCGCAGATCAGGATACAGAAATCTCTCCTAAAAACCCTGCATTTCGATTCAAAAATTCCAATATTGCGATTTGTGGGGAGATTTCCGTATCCGATTTATGGATTTCTTTAATATGATGTTGTTGTTTTTTAAATACATATAAAAACTTTTTTGTATATAATAGATACTCTTTTTTATTAAGTATTTATATTTTACTGTCATTTGACTTTCATTCTATTCGAACTAACGTTTGGTTTGATTTTCAGTGGGTAAGACATCATTGATTACAAGATTTATGTATGATAGTTTTGACAACACATATCAGGTATTTTACATTACATTTTAAAGTTATATGTTATTTATTACTTATTGTATCACATGTCAGGAAGAGAAAAAGAGGAATTAAAATCATCATTAAAGTCTTTTTTTTTCTTCTTCCTAATTGCTTTAGAGGTAACAGACGATTTTAATATAGCCTTTGGTTTTATCAACATTAATAGTTAATTGGTCTGAGTTTTAACTATTAATTTCAGGCACCAAATTATTTTTACTTTATTTTGGCTAGGATTCTACTAAAAGTATATATATATGTACTGTGAATGACCGAAATCAAGAAAATGTCTCCTTTCACTGGTGAATGTCAACAGTCACATAGTCGCTGCGGTGAATGTCCGAAATATTTGTTACGTCTGATTTGATATTAATTTATTCATTGATATTATATTTATTCAATATTTTAATATCTGCTGGGGATAGATTAGGAGAAACATCAGTGTTTGGAGTACCGGTTAAATGCATACTGGACAGTGGTTTTTGACCTTAAAAAACCATTGATGTAGGGCATACGGGGCAAATGTATACTGGGCTGTGGCACTAAACCTTTAAAACATTGACGTAGTTCATACCGGCCAAATGTATGCCAGGCATTGGACCTAGACCTAGTAAATATTTCGGACATTTACCAAAGCAACTGTGATTGTCAACAACTACCGTTTCTGGTCATTCACGGTAACATATATTTATAAAGATATTTCTGAACACAAACTATATAAATGAATTGAATGGTTTACAATTGGTCAGTTTTAAAAAAAGTTTCAATTTAAAGATTTTTTGGACGTAGTTCGTACCAGCCAAATGTATACCAGGCACTGGACCTAGTAAATATTTCGGACATTCACCAAAGCAACTGTGTGATTGTCAACAACTACCGATTCTGATCATTCACGGTAACATATATTTATAAGGATATTTCTGAACACAAACTATATAAATGTATTGAACCGTCTATAATTGATCAGTTTTCAAAAAAGTTTCAATTTAAAGATTTTTTGGACGTAGTTCATACTAGCCAAATGTATACCAGGACCCAGACCTAGTAAATATTTCGGACATTTACCAAAGCAACTATGTGACTGTCAACAACTACCGATTCTGGTCATTCACAGTAACATATATTTATAAAGATATTTCTGAACACAAACTATATAAATGAATTGAATGGTTTACAATTGATCAATTTTAAAAAAAGTTTCAATTTAAAGATTTTTTGGACGTAGTTCATACTAGCCAAATGTATACCAGGCACTGGACCTAGACCTAGTAAATATTGCGGACATTTACCAAAGCAACTATGTGATTGTCAACAACTACCGATTCTGGTCATTCACAGTAACATATATTTATAAAGATATTTCTGAACACAAACTATATTAATGAATTGAATGGTTTATAATTGATCAGTTTTAAAAAAGTTTCAATTTAAAGATTTTTTGGAATCTAAAAAATTTTACAGAAGTACAATTGAGTATATTATTTGTAGTACTTAAAATTACAAAAAAAAAACTTAATTATGGTTTTAAAACTGAAGCTTAAGTTTTATAAGGTTTTTCTTATGGTTTGCTGATTCATTTTTAAATTAGAATGATAACAACAGTATGATGGTCTTTAGAGAACCAGAAGTAATGGTAATATTTTTAAAGTTTAACTGTTATTATTAAAATATCATTATTGTTATTGTCCAGTGATATTGAAAGTCAAATAACTAATTTTGAATTGTTGAAAAGAATTTTTTACTAACAACAAGTAGGATTTTAAAAATTCGATTTTTTATGCTTCTCTCACATGTAAAAATCTGTATATAAAGTTTTGTATCTAAGTCAAAATTTTGTAAAGGTAATTTTTTAAATAGAAATATTCTGGTTGGTAGGGCATTGGGCCCGTGTCCAAGAGATCGTGGGTTCGATCCCCGCCAGCCAAAGACTTCCTTGCTGTAAATGGTGACTGATGAACATTAAATCTGTCGAGTCACAAAGTCTGCCATGTTCCCACAACAAATCATACCTCTGGGGGTACTGATCCAGGAGTTTCCTTGTCTCCTGGATTGGTTCAAAATTGCTAGGCTACAGAGTTGAACATTAGTAGTCGTAAATACAAAAACTGGGTCGGCTGTTCAATACGGATATAAAATATAAAGATAAAATATAAAGATAAAATAAATTGTTAGTAGATATTTGAGATTTTTGGGAGAGGAAGGTTCATTTTTAATGTCTTTTTCAGGAATTATATATAAATTAAGTACAAAAAATATTTTTACTAATATGAATTGATTCTAAGATTATGAAATAATCTCAAAAACAACTTTTTTTGTTCTTTTCTCAATTGGTATAAAAAATACCTGCTTCTTGACGTTCACAGCAAAAGAGCTGTATCAAGAGTTGAAAGTCATTTCTATTTAAAGTTGTCGCATTTTAACACATAAGAGTCTGACATTAATTATATTTGGGAAAAATTTATAAATGATTTTACTTTTAATACCATCAATTCTTGTTCCTGATTTTTATATTAAATAATATACTTGATTTGTTATTAAAATAGGTTGATACTTAATAATTTTAGTATTGTTTTAATTTTTAATTAATTTTTTTACAGGCTACCATAGGTATTGATTTCTTATCAAAAACAATGTATCTAGAAGATAGAACTGTGAGTATTTTCAATTTGTTTCTTTGCATTCTTTCAATATTCTTTTGTTTCAAACTGAAGAATTTACTTATTGTTTTATTGACCCTTTAAATTTCCATTGCAGGTTACAAAAACAAGTTTATTTTGTTTTGTTTTTAAATAAAAATGAAATGAAAATAAATTTATTACTTTAAATGTAATATTGTCCAATGTACTCTTACTTGTGCAACATATACATTAAGCATTCATTTATGTTTAATATTAAGTTATTTAATAGGTCATGGTGAAATATTTTTATTGAATTCCAGCGAGATTTTTTAAAAAAAAGACCTCTGACTTGCAATTTTTTGCCAAAATTAAAATAAATAAATAAAACTTAAGAGCCTTTGCAATGTGAATTTTTTTTTTTTTTATTTGCTTCGTGTTTAAAATCATTAAGATGTTTACCATTCTTTATTTTGCTGTGCTCTAAGTAATTTCTTATTTTAAGCTATCATTTTTTTAAAAAATGTTTTGTTAGGGTGACCTGGGGTAATTCATGATCAAAAAATGCACACATCTATTTTGTGGAAAAACTATTCAAGATAGAATTTTAATATTTTCTGGAAGTTTGAGGCTATATGAGATGAGTCCAATGCTACCTTCTTTTGTTTGAAAATCTAATTAGAATTTAAAAGATTTGAAATTTTTAGTGATCAGGAATTAGTGTGTCTTGATCAATTCTGGGGTAAATCCTGATCATTTCTGGGGTAATTACTGCTCACCAGTTTTTATAGTAAATGGGCTGTTTAAAAATAACTATACAATGGTAATTAACAAATAAGACATTAAGATCAAACAAATAAACCAAAAAGATATGTTTAAGCAGCTAATAAAACTGTTTATTTAAAATCAGGAATAAAGATTAACACTTCAGCTCTGGCAGCAGCTCTCACACTGAAATTTTCATTTTCAATCATTAAAAGAAATTCACTATTTTTGCTTTCTAGAAGCTTAGTATCCTTTTTAAGCTTATAATTTCTCACCATATTTGTATTAGGTTAATTTATCAACTTAAAATTTATTCTAGCAATGTACACACATAAATTTAAGACAGAAGCAAGGTAAGACAAGCTAGAAATGGTGCATTACAGAACAAATTTTTCTTGTATACAGTTAAAAAAAAATTTTGTGATTATAGTTAAAATATATTTTATAGTTGTTCCACTTAATAAATACGGTGTTTTCACTACAGAGCGAGAGCGCGATAATCTCGCATATTTGTTTTCTTTCCTCGCATTAAAAAATTATTAATGCGAGAAGTTCGCGCACCCTATTAATGAATTTTAAAATGCTTGAATCTCGCGAATTTTGGAAAAAATTTCGGCTTCCGCCATTTCTAATTAAATCCGCCATTTCTAATTAAATCCGCTTCGTTTTTCTTCCTTGATCTTTCATTATTTTCAATATCGGTCCTTGTTATCTAGCTTCCCTATTTACCAGTATTGTTCAGAACCAGAACCCCCCCCCCCCGAACCCCTTTCAGAACACATTTTTCTGCAACCACATGTTCGCCGTAGGTAAGGTTTCTTCATGTAAAACGTTTAAATTTTTTGTGCCTGAATGTAAGATGGACAAATACATTGTTAAGACAAATGAAACAAATGTCGGTAGAAGCAATAAAAACGAAACAAATACGGATATGGATTAAATACTAGCATGAAGTATGAACTTGGAAAGAACTTCAACATACTTCACAATTATGTAGCAGAAATAATTTAAAAGCCTATGCTGGCTGATGTAGAGGTTTTCGAATAATTCAGCATCTGTTGCAAGGTCATTTAGCACCCAAAACCGGATTAAGACAAAATATCGTAACAGATTGACTGATAAGCATTTGAGCAACCTAATGAGAATAGCTGATGAAAAAGTAGATATAGAACATTTTGCATATGATGATGCATCAAAAATATTTAATGCTTTAAAAATTAGAAGATGTTAAAAATGTATTACAATTAAAGAAATATTTTGTTTCCAAGTCTATTCGTGTTTTTTTTTTCTTTGAAATTTTTTGAAATCTCACCCTGTTTTTGAGAGAGGGTGCGAAATTCTCACCCATTTTTTTTCTGTAATGAAAACACTGAAATATGAACAGTTATTTAAGAAAAGACAATTTATTAGCTATTTTTTATACTATTTATAAGAAGAAATGACAATGATCAGGAATTTCCCCAGTGATCAATAATTACCCCATCTGTAAGGGGCAACATTTGATATAGTTTCGTATAATCAATTATAATGTTTACAGTAGATGTGAAATAATTAAGCAAAAACCTACACTATTTTTATATCAAAGAAAAAGAAAGTAACTCAAAATATTTATTATTAAGAGAAGGAGATCTTTGCAGAAATGTGCACATTTTGAAACCCATCTTTGAAATGGAAAATACAGAAAGCATTTTAAAAGATACTTATTTTGTTAGATTAAACAAAAAACTGTTATTAAGTAAATGTAGTTATACGTTAGTAAAGTGTACAAGCATTCTTGTCCATGTCTCAAATTTAAAAAAAAATATTATTTTTTTAAATAAAACTTAGGTGATCATTATTTACCCCAGAAACAGAGTGATCGTGAATTATCCCGGGTCACCCTATTTGCTTTTCATATTTCTTCAATATTTTATTATTTACTTTAAATGTTTTATTACTACAATTCATGAATCTATTTTTAATCAAGACCAATTTGCAGTTCCAGGAGTGCCAGAAATTTTAAATTTTTCCCATAGTTTTTGTATTAATGAAATTTCTAATGGACTGTACCTGTTCTCTTTAACACTAAACATACCAACACTTAATGTAAACCTATTTCTACCATAGTGGGACAAATGACCAGACTTTATATTTCTTCATTGAATGTTTGAAATATGGATGTTAGGAAAGAAATAAGCTGAAAATAACTTTATTATAATTAAACAAAATTGTATATTGCCAACTTTTATGTATTACAAAAAAAAAAAAAAANACAAACACAAAGAATAAGAATTTTTAATTCATTGCTCAACACATTTTTTACATATACACGGTGTTTTCATTGTACATTTTCTGCAAACATAGTTCTTCTAATTATTATTATTTCTATAATTCTTATAATTAATGTTATTTCTTCTAAGAACTTGTGCTCTCCTGATTGTTTCAGCATTTTGTTCAGCAGGTAGTTTAAAATGAAGTAAAGCTATCAAAGTAAAATCTAAGGTACTTACCAAAACATTTAGCTTTTGTTACTTTTTCTTACTCAAAAATGCCAATCTGAAATTTTAGGTACTTGCTCAAAATTTGACTTCACAGTTATTCTGATTGAACTAACTATGCAACACTGCTTGCAGAAATGTGTAACTAGTTGAATGCAATACGTTGAGCACACACTACATCGTAATTTCTGATCCGATAACCTTATAATAATTNTTCTTGCTTTAAAAGATCAAAAAAAAATCGAGTTAAAGGGAGTAAAATTCGAGTAATCGAGAATAATTAACATGAAATTAAAGATAAAAGGGTCGGGACCTCATAAAAAATTCGAGTTATAGTAATATTCGAGTTATCGTACTTCGACTTATAACGAATTGACTGTAATTCAATATTGTAGTCGTGCAAAAACGATAAGATGATAAGCACATTTTCGATGCAAAAGTTCTTTAACGGTCATTTGACCGGTTATGGTATGTTTATTGTTAAGAAATTCTCCTTTACCATAATATATGCATTTCTGTTTCATTCATTTTGAAGTTTATAATTCTTCATAATTTTTTTTTTAATATTTTTAGAATCATGAAATACATTTCTTAAACATAGCATTTCTGAAATCACATTACTGTCTTAGTTCTGAAAATTTTTTGTTCTCTTTTCCTCCGTGTTTGGGAAAATTTTGTTCATTAAATAGTGAACAAATTGAAATAAATCTTGAGATAATTTTATGTTCTGTTTTTTGTCAACTAGTTAATTGGTGAAATACATTATTTTAAATTAATGTAAAGGTTTATTTAGTTTCTTTAATGTATATTTCACTTCATCTTGTAAGTAAAAAGAAAAATCTGTGAGGAAAGTAAATTAAAATGTTATTAAGTATGTTATTAAAATGTTTTTATAATAAATTAAGGGAATGAATTCTTTTTTTTTACAATGATTTCCCAAAAAGTTTATTTTTACCTATGTTAACATTTTCATAATTGTTCATATTTTTTATGAATGTAAAATAGTGGCAAGTAAAAATAAATAGCCTAGCTAGTGCCTTTGGTAATAAAGTTTGATACCCTGCTTTATGGTATACTTAAAGGGTTCAGAACTTTTTTGAGTGAAGGGCCACATGCACAGCAGATTTACCAATGAAGGGCCACATGACAAAGTATTTAGACAGACATATTGACAGCAATTGTTATATAAATATCATTGTTCTAGTCACTAAATTCTTCTTTTCAGTTAACTTTGTAATATCTTTGCAAATAATTAAACAATTTTAAATGTTTAAAGTTAGAAACTGCAAAACTAATTACTTAAGGAGAAAAACAGAATCAATTTATTAGGAAAAAAAATTTGAAATAATTAAAACTATGGGAAGATGCATTTTTTGTAAAAATCATATTATATGATACAGAAGTTCATTTAAACATGAATTTAACAGTAAAAAATTATTCATAGAATTAAATTTAAAAAAATAAATAAATATTCTAGTTTTTAAAATAAAAAGTTAGAAACTTTAATTTAAAGAAAGTTTTTAGGGTTAAAAATGATTAAAATTAAATCTATTAAAATTAAAAATGATGAAAAAAGAAAAAGAGCGATCAAAGAACTACATTGATTGAGACTGGGTGCATAAAAAATTATTTAATTATAATTTTTCAAAAAAATAATATTTAAAAAAAATTTTTTTTTGTTGTTTAGATTGGTGCCGAGGGCTGCACATCGAAGGTTGGTGGGCCGCAGTTGTGTGCTCCCTTAGTATACTTCATAACTTGGTGTTGTATTTATACTTAGAGAAAAATCTGATATGTGTTAAAAGTTTGAGTATTTGAACTGCTAGTAAAGCTCTTTTGTCTTTAGAATAGTGTATCTGCATTTTGCAATCACAGAAGTCTAAAAAGCATTGCATCTTGATTGCAACTGCATTTAAAATACTCAAAAAAATTTATCTGCACTACATAAAATAGGCAATATTGATTAAAATGTGAATCCAGTTCAAGCTCTTTACTTATAATACAGTTTTTTTTTTTAAATTTTTCTCTACAAGTTTGGCTTATTTTATCTACTCAAAATATAATTTAAAAATTAGAATTTTCTCTTCATCAGATTTTGAATTTTCATCATCATCAACAATTCTTTTGTACATTGAAATTAAATTTATTCCTCATAAGAATTACAACATAGTTTAAAATTTTACTGTGTTCTGAGAAAATTAAAATTGTCAATTCAAAAACCTTAAGCTGGTTATTGATGATTTTAATTATATGGATAAAATCGAAATGGATCTTTCGAAAGCCACTTGTGTAACAATTTTGTAATTGTCTAATCAGCCTTAAAAATGGCAGCAAATGCAGATTTTTATTAAATATTTAACAATTGAATTTCCTTTGAATAACAGGTTAGATTGCAATTGTGGGACACAGCTGGACAGGAAAGGTTTCGTAGCTTAATCCCCAGTTATATTCGTGATTCAACTGTGGCTGTTGTAGTCTATGACATCACAAGTAAGACTCTACTTAATTATTATTTATTTTTTAAATGCTCATCAAAATAAATCATATCTGCCTTTCTTCGAATTCTTCAAAAGTAAATATGTTCTACAAAAGTGTAAAATCCTTCGCTACTATTTTTTTTTTTTAAGTTTTGAATTTTTTTGCTATATTTTTGAAGATTGGAAAAAAATACATATGATTAAATTTAAATTAAATCAGAATATATGTATAGTATTTTTATTGATAATTTAGTTTTTTTTTAATTACTTCTTTTAGGATTACTTAGTTGTTGAAAAGTTGCTCTTTCATTTTGTTAATTTATAAATTATTTTATCTTTTGTTTTCTTGCAGCTTTCTTTGATATTTTGGGATAATTCATATATTTTATAGCTAAAAATTATAAATATTACTTTTTTATCCTTGATTTAGTTATTTATTTATTTTGCTTGTCTGTTATTTTTTTGCGTATATTTAACTTATTGACTATTTGACTTAATTTTTAAATATGGATTTTTGATATATTTGGATAGTTAGGATATATTTTAGGATAGCTTGATAATTGATAAAGAAATTTTTTTTTTTTGCTTGCCTGTTGATAAAAAGCGTAATTTTTCAATTACTTATTCTATAAGCAGTGGCATACGCAAGGGAGGGTTTTAGGGTTTTAAACACCCCCCTTGAGATCAGACAAAGTGGCAAAAATAAAAATTTTAGTAGAAATTGAACAGGTTATTATTTTTTAAGACTATATATTTTTATTTGCCTTATGCCTTCTTTTTTTTACTCTCGTTACTTCTCAGAATACTGAAAAAACATTTACTATAATAGGGTTGTATTTTTGAAAGAAATGTGATACTTCCGTTGAAGAAAATTTAACTAAACAATGTTGTCTAAATAAAAAGTTAAAATTGTCTAGCTGTCTGAATTAGGGAAATTATAGTGCTTTATTACATACTCGAATTTCTTTTAGTAGTTTCAGAAAATTATGAACACCCCCCTTGGAAAAATTCTGCGTACGCCACTGTCTATAAGACTTAATTTAAAAAGTATGGATTAATTTGATATTATATATAGATTCTTTATATATTTGTGGAATTTCTGTTAGGATAGTTTGATAATTGGTGTTAAAAATATGTTGTTTTTTTTCCAATTATTATTATATCTTAAACTTATCACTCAATTAAGTTTTGCAATCTCATTGTTCCTTATCTTTATATAATTAATTTTTAATCTCTTCTAGTATTTTATGTTTTAATTGTTTACTGTTTTTTTTGTTTTAAAGATGTTCTTATGAGGATCTATANATTTATATATATATATATATTGCCCAGTAAATTTAGTTTGTCTTATTTCAATTTCAGTCACATTTTTCATAAATCTACCTGGAAAAAATCTCTTCCTTTTTTAGTATGAATTAATTTTGAGATTAATGTAAGGCTTGCAGAGTTGGCAAGCTTTTTGACAGAATGGATTAATCCACAGTTTAAACCAGGGCTTAAACTGTTCTGTTCAAAACCCCTTTGTCAGAAACTGTCAAAACCCTATTTTTCAAATTATGTCACAATTTAAAAAAATATTGCGAAAAATGAAAGGTTAATTTTTGAACAAGAAACAGAATAAAGAAATGTATTTGATTTATTAAAAAAGTTTATTATTATTTTTAATATTGCATTATTTATCCTTATGCAAAAGCATAATTTATCTGTATTAAAGCATATTTATTCATATTCTAGGGATAAGGTATTCACTTTTGTTCAATGAATTGTGGAGCTTCAAAAGTTATAAATCTTTTCCTATTATATTATTTTTCTTTATTAAGTTAAAGCAAATTGTACAAAAAGTATCAAATATTTATTAATGTATGTAATTGAATTGTTATTTGTGCAATAGTTGCACAAATAGAATTTTTACCTTTTACCGAAGTTTAAGGTTTTGAACACTTTAAGACAGTTTTAGTCGGTTTAGGATAGTATAACTAATAACCCATGTGTCCTGTCCAAAACCCTAACCTGATTTTGAGGAATTCACAATTTCTAATTTATGAATATTATAATTTATGATTTTATCATTGCAAAAACTGTTATGTGTATTTCATTTTTTTTTAATAAGAAATCAACTTAGTTTTGAGAAGTATTAATTTATTCAAGGCTGATGTATAAATTAAACCTTTCCAAAAGTAAAATTTCAATGTCTCCAATAATAGCAAATGTTCAATTTTAATACTTGTGTAACGGTCAATCCCTAATTTGTTTTATTTCAATTTAAGTGTTGAGAAAAAAATCTAATAAATCATAAAATATGCCATTTTAGATGCTAATTCATTCCATCAGACATCAAAATGGGTTGAAGACGTCAGAACGGAAAGAGGCTGTGATGTAATAATTATGTTAGTTGGCAATAAAACAGATTTAGCTGACAAAAGGTATAAACTTTTAATTATATAAAACATTTGTTATTTGAATTCAGCTTTGCTAGAAAATTTATTTCAATTATTATTTTTTTTTTTTTAACTATTTATTAACTGTTAATGCATTTATTATTATTTAGTAGACTTTCTATATTACTGTGTTTGAAACATTTTGTAAATAAATTATTTTTCTTCTGACTGCAATCTTAATTTAAAGTATTCTGCTTATAAACAGATTTTTTAGCATTCTCTTTTTCCATTCTTTTCAATTTTGTTGATAATTTGCCCTTTTCTTAATTGATCTTAAAAATTTGCAAAGAGTATTTAATGATATTATTGGAAAATAATAATGTTAGTGATGCTGCTAGACTTAAGAATGACTTAAGGTCTTTGGGAACCAGGACTTCTAAATCTCTTGGTCCATCTTTGCTAAAAGCATGTTCCAATAGATTTAAAGTTATAGTAAATGTTTTACTTCAGATATTTAGTGCAATTTCTATTTTTGAAAAATTTCCTTTTGTTTTTTAGAAAGTTAAAGTAATTGTCCTCTTTTTTTCCTATAAAATCTGCGAATTTCTTAATATGTTTTAGTGCAACAAACTGCTTGGAATTTGATTTTTTTTTAAAATATATTATTTTTATTTAACAGAATTTTTTACTTTCCTGAAGCCTTAAATTGAACATGCAAAATTGATAAGATATTTAGGGGAGTGAATCAATAACAAAATGACAAGAAAATAGTTCAGAGATATTAGATAATCACAATCTTGTCAAGTAAGGTGGTCTTTCTACACTTAGGGAGGGTAATAGACTGATAGGATTATCTTGCTGAAGTCAGTAAGAGTACAAAAAAAATTGCAATCACAAAAGAAAAAATAATTTATAAATCAAATCTTTCTCATAAAAATTGTTACACAGGATATTGCTCTCCGCAATTAAATTTCTACTACCTTTCTACATATCCAGAAAATTTTTCCTGGACAGCTTCTTGTGATTTCTTAAATAAGGATCAGTTTCTTAGATGAGAGGGACATAAGGCTTTTGTAATTAGTAGTTTAAATGTAGAATGTTTGAGTTTTCACAGCAGAAAAATCAGAGACCGAACGCTATCCAAAAGGGGCAATTCGATGATTGTCGATGCCTACAAGCAGCGTGGACGCAGAAAGATCGTTTTCTCAAAAGAAAGAAGATTGAAAGAAAGTATAAAAATGTATTAAATGTTGAAAGACGAAGCATAAATGAGAATAATCTGACAATGTACAATACTTTGTACCAAAATTCTGTTCATTTAAATAAAAATATTAACATTGATTGAGATTAAAAGAAATACTTTTGTTGTGTTTCTTTTAAGCTTTTTTTATTATATGCACAATTTCTGTCTTTTGCATCATTTATATAGTAAATTTTTTTGTGTTTAGAATCTGCGTAATTTCAACATTTTCCACGAATTTCGGATCTTTTTTTTCTGCAACAAAATTGCAGCCCTAGTTATGATTTGAGGAAGAAAAACAATTTATTGCTCAGATTAAAGTAAAATAATCAGGGTTAAAAATTAAGAACTGTTAATCACTTGTTCTAAGGTTTAATACTTCTAGTAATATTCAGGGGTGTTTGTGCTCCGGGGAAACCCCGGAATTCCGGGGATTTTGAACTTTGATATCCAGAAATTCCGGATATCAAGAGGACTTAAAAACATGTATTTCAGATGAGTCACCTATAAAAGTCTCTGAGAAACCTTCTACAGTAGCAGAAAAACAAACTACTTCTACCTCTGCATGTGCAGTTCACGAGGAAATTTCTTTAACTGTAAATGAGGAAAATAAAAGTCAACCTTCCTGCAATTATGAAGTTCACCACAAAAGAAAGACAAGCCCACAAACATCAAAAAATTAAAAAAAGCAGCAGAAATTAGATAATTTTTTTTAAAGAATTAATTCAGGTAATTTGAAATATTTACATAAAATGTAGTAGTTTACATGTTTGAAAATTTATGGTTATTAATTTTGCAAAAAAAGTAATTCATTGAACTTTTATAATTAGGTCATTCAATACTTCATAATTGTAATTTTTCATTCCCCCCCCTTCTCGAAACTCCAAAATGTCGGTAGTAAGTCCGTAAAAGTTTCGGGATTTTTTGGGGTCCCACAAACTCCCCTGAATATTGGAATATTACTAGCTTCCTAGTCTTTCATATTTTTACTGCTCCTTTTACATCTCTGTATTAGAGTTTCATTAACAAAATCAATGTGAATTTAAATGAAAAAGACAATGAAATAGAAAAGATGTGACAAAGCGCAAATCAAAACACTATGCAAAAAATTAACATACAATTTCTTTAAATCATGAAAATTTATTTTATGTGATCAGAGTTAAATTTTACTGGCCATGGATCACTCCTATTTTCACGTCCTGATAGGTTAAGAAATTGTATTATGTAAGTAATTGAGTTGTAAAAATATTGATTATGTAAAAATATCGATTTATGTCCTTACATTAGCCTTTTTTCTTTTTTTGCAATAATGTTCCACTTTGTTTATCCATCAGAATTTATAGATTTCTGTTTATTTGTATTTATATACATTCTTTGCTTATTGATAGGCAAGTGACAACAGAAGAAGGTGAAAGGAAAGCAAAGGAGCTAAACGTTATGTTTATAGAAACCAGTGCAAAATCTGGATACAATGTCAAACAGGTATGTTGATTTTATTTAGCATCTTCATATGTGATGGTAGAGGTTTCCATTTTCTTCCTGTAAATTTAATTATCAGATTAAAACTTCCCACATGTCTGATATGAGGTAATATTTCACGCTTATCATTCTAAAGTCAAAACATTTCCCACTTAAAGGCTTCCTATCAATCATAATATACTGGAAATTTTTTTTTTCTATTTTAAATTTTGTGCAATTTATTTATGTCCTCTTTAATCCTTCTTTTAACTGATTTAGCAGCCCCCCCCCACCCCTGCTTAGCCTTTGATCCCAATCAATTTTCTCTCTTACCCTTTATAAGTATCTTTTTTCAATTTTTTAAGTGATTTCAAAGTTATTATTTTTAAATAAATAGGTGTTTTTTTTAATGCTCTTTTAAATGTTTACTTTCTCATAGTTTTCAGTTTAAATTATAGGAAAAAGCTTTTAAGTTGTTTATCAATTAATCATTTTTTGCTAGTTTGCTTTTTTTAAGAAAAAAATATGCACAGAGATTTCCTTTTAGCATGTGTTTAATTATTTTTATAAACTACAAATGTTTTGCTCGCTTTGAAAATGAGAGAGAATATACTCAAACAAAAGTATGAGGGGATAATTTAAAAATTGTTGACCATAAAATTCAGTTATTACCTAATATTACACATTTAGATAAATATTTTCACCCTTATTTAGTATAAATCCTTTCAAAACTCAAAGTGCTCTGCCCTTTTTTATTCCTAGGGAGAATTCTGGATAGTAAACCAAGGTGTAGTACTTGCCACAGATTAAAATCATTTTTGCTCTCAGAGCATTTGATTTCATTAAATGGCTGAAATCATAAACCAGTTTACACCTAGGAAAAAAATGTTTTTTTTTTTTAATGGTGGGCACTTGGAACTATTGTCCATTGGCCACAGAAAATGTCAAAACTGCTAACTCTCTTTTCGTTATCCAGTGTGCGAAGCCACGGTGGTGGAGCAGCATCGCCCACGTCACACTACCAAAACCTGTTTATAGGGCGGGTCACATTCACACGCAAAGGAGAATGCATTTATGGAGTCCGATTCGCGCGATTTTGGGCGTCTATCTTTTTTTCAGCTATTACAACCATGTATTTCATGATTTTTAATTACTTTTTTTTATTGTGATGATTATTTACAAAATTTAATAAATTGGTAAACAAAATTTAATAAATTGGTAAAGCTCACATATAATTTGTGCGTTTTTCTCCCAACAAAAATGTGACAATATTATCCATAATATTAAAATAAAAAATTATTGCTTATTCAATTTGAAAAAGTTATATAGTCTTTTTTGTAAACACAGCATATTTGTTACTTTCAATTAGTAACGTACATGATTGTTATAATTAAAAGTATCTTGCAGAAAGATATTTGTGCTAGAGAGATTCGTAGCAGATAGGTCGAAAAAATTCTGCTACAGGGCAAATCAACAGATTTGTAATGAGATTTAGAACAGTAAAACATGGAAACGTCTTTATTATGAGACGGTTTTATTGAAGCATTGTATAATGCATGCACATAATCTGATTCTTTGTTTTGTGCATTATTTGGTATTCTCTCTCTCCACCATTCATTTTCTCTGCAAAGACTGGAAATATCTCCCCCTTTTCGCAATTCATGCATGCTCAAAATATACTAAATATTGTTATTACCACATATTAGAAAAATCAACTATAGGGGTGAACAACCTGAGGTCCGCAGGCCTCTTGTGGCCTGCCGGAACTTTTGAATGCAATACAAAAATTTCTTTTAATTTGGTTTTTTTAAACATCATAAATTTACTTTAAAATATTTAATTCAAATTTATATCACTCCATAATTTTTTCCACTTTCATACTGTAAGCTTCTTTTTGGTTAGAATTTATATCCAACAAATATATATATTTAATAAATTATTTATTTAGAAGAATGCAAATGGTTTTTTTTTTTTAGAAAAAGTATCCATTTTTTTTAAGTTTTAAATAAACTAAAGTAATTAAAAGTATTTAATTTTCTGAAACTATGTTATTAAGTTTACTGACCAAAATATTTAATGCTTAGTACACTAATGTTTATTTAAAAATTATCATATTTGCCACTAACATGACTAAATATGCGTGCTGTCCTTCGTTAATCTACCTGCTGTGCAAGTGGCCCTTCACTCAGAAAGGTTGTGCACCCCTAGTCAACTGTAAATTTTTTTTCCTATTTGGTTTTATTCTTTGTTGTGTGACATTATTCCTGTTTTCAGCTTTTCAGGCGCGTAGCTGCAGCTTTGCCAGGAATGGAAACTCCTGAAAGAACAAAAGAGGATAGTATCCTTTTTCTTAAAGTTTCTTTTCTTTCTTTCTTTTGTTATTTTATTTATTTAAGAAAAATTTTGCCTGCACTTTTGTGAATGCTTTTCTTTGACAATGCATCAAAGTCTTGGCTTATTGCTTTTTAAATTTTTTATTTTCTATATGTTTTGTGAACAGTTATAAATTTGATTTTTGTTTCTATTGTGCATAGCTGCCAACATTTTTTCAGAATACAGCAGTGAAATTATTGAAATTTAGGAAACAATTAAACATTTTTCTATATTTCCTATTTAAATTAAGCAAATAATAACATGGGAAACTAAACTCAATATTTTTAATATTACTTTTCTTTTCTGAATTTTGCATTAAAGATGAATAAACATTTTTAGTGTCTCAAGTTTTCATATGTGACCCCAAATTTAAACATTTTTCAAAAATTCTTTTTAAACTCTGAAAATTTATGTAAGAAATCCACTTCTAAAATACAGTTAAATTGCTTTCTTTGAGAATTACAATGAATTTTTTTTCCATAAATGTCTTGAAAATCAGTGAAGTGTATATTTATTTCTATTATTGATAAATTTCAAATTTTTGAAGGAAAAAAAACAACTTCGTACTAACATTTTTCTGACTGTAATTATTATTATTACTACTTTTTTTCAGGTTTAGATCATAAAATTTATTTATTGTGCGAAGATATTGTATTCCTTTGCTAATGAATCAGATTTTCTTCTTTAAATTCAAAGTAAATTATGCATGATTAGTGCTGTTTCTTAAAAGGTCCTTAAATCATAAAACTTTTTTAAAGCCTGCAAAAGTAATATTTTTTTTATCTTAATTTTACCCATTCAAATATCACTTTAATAAACTAATATTTTTGACACATTTTATTGACCAAAATATCCTCCCCATAAGTACTGCTCAGAAATGAGTGTGCCCCAGAAAAAGTCCGGATTTTTCGCTAACCGCGATCCGAAAATCCGAGGTCTAGAAGTTTGAAGAAATCATTGATCACATTTATGTATAAAAATTCTTGTATATTTTATTTAAAAATATTAGAACTAGAAATTTTACTTGACATCTCTTTCATTTGTAAATATTTTTTTTCTGGTAGAATAATAATTGTGATTAGAGATAAAAGTAATCTTATACAAAATTATCAATTTAAATTATGCTGCGTATGATTTATTTAGAATTTCATGTTGCGAAAATATCAATGATTTAATTTTATAAAGACATTAATTTTTTGAAATGCGTCATTAATTATTTTATTCAAGAAATGTTCAGCATTTTTGAGTTGGACTTACAAACACCCATAGTATTGCCATTAATTATTGCTTAAAACTTAATTAATAAAGTTTCTAATATCACAACAAATAGTTAGATTTTATTTACATATAAGGCTTCTGGGTGGCAGCTATGCTTGTTGCATGGTTTGTAATCTTCTCCTTTTTTTGTTTTTATTCCTTGACTTTGTGCTTTAGTTGTTGATGTGGATCTCAAAGATGCTCCTAGTGAACCGCCTAAGCCGGATGGTGGTTGCATGTGCTGAAATGTTGTTTTGAATTTGGCTTATATGGCTGCTTGCCTTGGCTGGTCCAATTTTGTACTTAATCCCTTAAGAAGACTCAAGTCATATCTAATAAAAGTCTTCTACATAGCATTTTTTTGCAGACTGCTTGAGTTATATTTATTTAAGAGATACATTAACGCGTTAATAGCATTTTTGATTTATGTTCGTAATTAGTTCTGTTTTTTATTATTTTTTTTATTGACTGCATGATGAAAGCAGCTTGTGTTAATTTATTTCATATATTTTTTTTATTTCTTATTATTATCTTACTCTCACTAAAACATCCTTGGAAATTGTGATTTATTGTGTGTGTATATATGAAGAATACGTAGTTTGTATGTAAGTTGAGAAAATTTGTGTAAAAACTAAAAAAGTATCTTCTTTATAAGTACAGTTGACTCTCAATATATTGAACCCTGTCATCTAGCAAAAAAGGCTATTGTAATGTTAGGTATTGATAATGTGAATTTACAAAAGTAACATAAATATTTATTTGTAACTGATAAATGCTGGATTAAGTTTGACTAAACCATAGTTAAAAAGTATTGGGACCCTGACAAAATAATTGATAATTATGTAACATAACATATGTTGCGAGCAACCATTTTCTATAAATAGCTAATACCCAGAAAACTTTTAAGTCTTAACAAAATCAAGAGGAATAAATTTACAACATGTACCAAACATATACCAACTAAATCATATAGGACGCCAAGATTTGGAAAAAAAATAAACAATACAATTTTCAAACCATTAAAGTTTGTTTCTTAAATTAAAAAGAGAAAGAAAGATCTTTTGACAAATGAAAATACAGTACCTACCCGTTTAAATGCAATAAATGTGTAACAGGCATCATGTTGATTTTACGGTGATGCAATATTCTCTTTCAATTATTTAAAGTAAACTCTAATTCACATACTTTTGTAGTCCAAACCCAATTAGAATAATAATATATTCAAAATTATTTAAAGATCTTTCACATTTATTTTGCAGAAAAATGGTGGTTTAAATTTCTATAAAGTACTGTCGAGTAACCAATTTTCAATGGAAGAATAACTTATTTTCAAAGTGCAAAAGAGGTTCACTCTTGTTTAAGAAAAGATCTCGATGAAAAAAAAAATTACATTAGTTCAATTCATATGTTCTTATGAACATGAAAATAATGTATGTAATTTTGCATCTGTGGAACATAAAAGGAAACTTAATGTACTTCTTGTCAATAAGAATAAATAACTAAATAATAGAGGAATAAATAAATGGAAGAATCAATACTAAAATATATATACCGTATTAATAAACTTGTCGAAACAAAAATATTCCTAGATATGATTTTAATCTTTTCTAAAACTTTAAAAACTTTCTAAAACTTATCTATTTTTGCTGAGAATTTCTTGGAGATGAAAAGGAAAAAATCAAATTACATTTTGTTTGCTAAGTGAAATAAATTAGCATATTTTAAGCAATAAAAGTTTAGTGGGTTAAGTATTCAAAGTAGCATGCTATTGACATACGTAAATAACATTGCATCTATGGAATAACAAAAGGGTTGTTAATAATGGAAAGGATGTTGATATAGTGGTCAGATGTAATAATAATAAATGTAGTCTGTATTTGTAAATTTAAAGAGACAATAATCTTTCTGGATATAATTTTAATCTTTTCTAAAACTTTAAAAGGATGATTTTATTTAGAAGTATTTACAGGGTATCTGTGCACCTGGAAATTCATGAATTTCGGTATTGAACAAAATTTGCCATGAAATGTCATGATTTTTACTGTTTTTTTTTAAAAGAAAAATCACGGAAAGTCATGGATATAGGTCGCCGAAAAATCTAATTTTTAAAATTGTATCCCCCCCTCAATTTCACAGTGTTCCGAATATCTGAATTTGTAACAAAACTCCACTCACAGTAATATTTTATTAAAATATAAAATGTTTTTATCCTGTTCTTTAAAAATTATGTTGTTCTTCCAAAAAATGAAAGAAAGAACATCATTTCTAGATCAAATTATTCTATAAACTTTTGTAATTACAGATTTTTTTTTTAAATTTATTTTATCAATTTAAAATTCTAGCTGAAATAAGCCAGTCATTGGCTCTTTTTTTTTAAATTCTGAAATAAGAACAGAAAAATTAGTATTTCTTTCCTTTCGAATAAACAAAAAAAAAAGTATCTTTAGAATATAATTTTGCAGTAAAAAAGGAAAACAAAATTTTGCTTTTGTATTTTTTTCAGCTATTTTATTACTTCAACTTTTTCTTTACCCTGTTTTTTAAATTTAAAATCGATAAAAATGAAGATGCAGAGTATAACAGTTTTGGTTATGCTTATCATTTCGATTAATGTTATTATAATGCTTTTTTAAGTTTATTGTTGTGTTAATGTAGAATCGGAGAAAATAATGAAAAATTCTTGTAGTTACTCATGGAAAGTGGATTTGAAAATCTTAAATGTAGCAGATACCCTGTATTTGTAGTTGATTTAAAAATGGAATGCTTCTGTTTATTAGTGTTGGCTTATATTATGCTAAATGGAGCTGATAGCATGGTCTTTACTACTTTTAGCTGTGCATGTTGCTTGTATTTTAACTTTTGAAATTGCTCCAGATGATATTTTGGGTACAAATTATTTATAACATAGAGTATCTTGTATAATTCTGTAACATATACATTTTTTATATTAAGGTCTATTTATATATACATTCTGAACATTGAATATATTGAGGTGTGATTTTATATTGTGAATTTTCGTCGAATAAAAATGTGCTTCCTATTAATGGTCAATTTAATAAAAAGTATTTTAATATAATATATACATTTCTATAAAACAAAGCTAAAGGAAGTTTGCGTTTATATATTTAAACCAATCATTATGATGTGGGTTATTTATTATTTGTTAAGATGTATAACCTAGCTTCTATTAAGTTTATTGTTTTGGTTCTTTGGTGTTTTAGTGATATTTTCTTATAATTTAATGTTTGTAAATAGAATTGGGTTGATAAATCCTTTGTAGATTAATATTTTTGTGTATACATTTTTGTCTATACTAACTTTCTTAAATCCAGTTACTGTTATAGAATGTTAACTTGCTTTTTTTTTTTAGAAGGATTTAAGTTCCTCAATTCGAGGGGATTTGATAGAAAAAGATTTAACAGAATGCTCAGGGATCTGTCCTGGGCAAATTCACTCCCGTTTAGCGGTACCTTCACAAATTCAACATTAGGAAAAATGGTAGTTTCATAAAATACTTTTAAAGCAAGTTTTATGATCCTCCCCATCTCATCATAAAATTTTGTTTTTGTATCCCTGTAAAAAACAATAAATCCGGGTTTAATAACACATTTTGGCTCGCAATGTATCCCTCCCGCTGATTCTTATGGTGTAGTAGAATAATTTGCCTCACCAGTTTGGAGGAAGAATGTTCCCAAAATGCTGTGGGATGTATATATGAAACATTTATAAACATTAATTAAAACTTATATTTTTTTTATGAAAAATTTTTTCTCTGTGTAATTTTTGTAATGTATGACCCAGAAAAAAATGTTTGCACAGTGATAATAACTTTTAGTGCTAGTACTGTTAAATGCATGTTTTTATTAAACTCAAGTTGCAATTTAACTATAGAAAATGAATGTATGGATTTTTAAATTTGGATACAATTTTAAGCCCAAAATTTTACAGTGGCAAAATTATTTTTGAATATAATTTTGAGGGGAAAAATATATTGAAATTTACCAGTCATAAATGATTTTTATTTGTAGTGACAATTTTTGAAAATATTTTCTTACTTTGCCATGTTGTGTTGATTTTTAATGTAATTTTTAATTTTTACAAATTATGTTGAAATTTTCACAAAATAGGTACCTCTAAAAAAACTAGACAGACCCCTGATATGGGAGAAACTCTTCATGTCAAATTCTCGTTCACCTTCACGAGTAATTTAAAGTTTTAAGCGGGTTTAGGTTACCCATGAAGTTACAAGTGCTCACGATTTCTTTTTCTTTCAATATACAGTAGGGAACCGATTATCCGGAACGGTCGGGACCATCGCTATTCCGGATAACTGATTTTTCCGGTTTTCTGAATCACTACAAAAAGCCGTTTTTTTTATTGTTAAACCAACTAAAAAAAAAATATTTGGAAATAATCTTAAAAATAAGAAAAAACGATGAAGTAATACACTAATGATTATTTCCAAAATGATGGTAAGGTAAACATCTTTAAAAAAAGAAGGTAAAATCTTATGAGGAAAAAATTTTTTTTTTTTTTTAAAATGGCGAGAAAATTTATCGAATTTCGTTCCGGTTTTCTGATTTCCGGATAACGGGTTCTGTACTGTATCAAAATGCAAATGAATTGTGACTGGATTACATAGTTCGAAAAATATCTTGCAATAATTTGTTTTTATTTTTATATTTTGGAAAAGCTTTCCTCATTTGAAATTTCATAGTTCATAGCTGCCAAGTCTCCTGTTTTTTAACAATTACTCATGTATTTTACAACTATTTCCCGTTTACTCGTATATTCTAAAATTTCTCCGTATTTGTTAAAGAAATTTTAAAATAAAATTTTGCAATCAAATATCCACTGATAGCAAAAATACTTCTCTTATTCCTCAACCGAAGGTGCTATTGCCAGTACTGGAGTATTTTGAGTGTTTAGAGTTTTAAGTAATTATAAATAATGGTTTAAAAAAGTCTTTTTTAGATTAAGATTTATATGCAAATTTTTTTATTTATCTAAATGTAAGTGCTTATATTATTTCCAATTTTGAATTTCTCTTTTGGACTTGCATGATTATGCATTATCAAAACTTTACTCGTAGCCTAGAAAATTTCATTAGTAAAATCTCTGTTATTTTATTTCCCTAATGTTGGCAGGTATGATCCTGCTGTAATTTGTTTGTATTTTGATATTTTGGAAATGTTTTCTTCATTTTAAACTTCGTAGTTTACTCTAGGTTCACCTTAATTCATTTTTCTCTAAATATTAAAAGGCCATTGCAGGTGAAACAGAATTTCCCGTGAAAAGATTCTCCTGTAGTATAGTGTTACACTATGTACTGCAATAATAAAAATTAAGGATTAAAGCCTAGGATCACAAAAAATTGGGATGTTGCACGACAGAGAGAATACTTAAACCTAAAACAAAACTTGAATCATAAATATATACAGTACCGCTCAAAAGTATCAGTACACCTAGAAACTTATAAAAAAATGGCAAAATTCAAAGTGTCATAACTTCTTTAAAAATGATCAAAAATGCTTCTGCTTTAGCTCATTTTGAAGCTTAAATCCTCTACTTTTATGCACTCTAATTGTTTTTAATTTATATATTTTGCAACTATGTACAATTACACTCTAAACAATCATAGAAAATTGTATTAATTTTTTGTGAAGTTTGACGCGATGTACGGGCACAAAGGGGATAGATATTGTTAATTTTTATTATACCATTGAAAAATTTGGACTTTTAGCTTTCATTTAAAAAAAAACAATTCCCAAAAAACATGTTTTTTGACGAAGTTATTGTCAAATAAAAAAAAAAAAGGTTTTTTTCCAGAATTTAATGATTTTTCAGCAATTATAATGAATTTTAGTGTATTTATAATATGTTATGAAATTTTTTTAATTAAAATAAATTGAAATTTAATATTTCTCGATAATATTATTTCATAATTTATTATAACAATTTTAACTTTTTTTTTTGGAAAATATAATAATGAAATAAGAATCAACGTTTACAATTTAATATTTTGAAATTTATTTTTTCGTATTTTTCTCAGAAAAAATTTGAAAACAAAAATGTAAGTACATTTTTGTTTTCAAATTTTTTCTGAGAAAAATACGAAAAAATAAATTTCAAAATATTAAATTGTAAACGTTGATTCTTATTTCATTATTATATTTTCCAAAAAAAAAAGTTAAAATTGTTATAATAAATTATGAAATAATATTATCGAGAAATATTAAATTTTAATTTATTTTAATTAAAAAATTTTCATATCATATTATAATTACACTAAAATTCATTATAATTGCTGAAAAATCATTAAATTCTGAAAAAAAAACTTTTTTTTTATTTGACAATAACTTCGTCAAAAAACATGTTTTTTTGGAATTTTTTTTTTTTATAAATGAAAGCTAAAAGTCCAAATTTTTCAATGGTATAATAAAAATTAACAATATCTATCCCCTTTGTGCCCGTACATCGCGTCAAACTTCACAAAAAATTTATACAATTTTCTATGATTGTTTAGAGTGTAATTGTGCATAGTTGCAAAGTATATGAATTAAAAACAATTAGAGTGCATAAAAGTAGAGATTTTAAGCTTCAAAATGAGCTAAAGCAGAAGCATTTTTGATCAATTTTAAAAAAGTTATGACACTTTGAATTTGGCCATTTTTTTTATAAGTTTCTAGGTGTACTGATACTTTTGAGCGGTACTGTAGGTTTGTAATTAACATTAGCCAAGTTTTTTTTAAATTGTTTTTTTACTTTTTTTGAAAAAAAAAAGGATATTTTTGAAGCATTAATAAATGTAATTTGAAGAGGTTTTTTATTTTCTTGTTAAAAATATCAAGTCTTCGATATTATTGTTTTAGATTTTTATGCTAGAGGTGATTGTGTCGATTTGGGCCAATTCTTTTTTTATCTAATATTACTTTCTTTTTTGTCAGCTGTTGTAAAGAAGGAAACAAAATGGGATATTTAAGATTTGGTTTTAAATGAATCATTTTGAAGTCTTACTTATTTTTTTTTTCGATGTAATTTTCGATG